ATTTTAAAACTCTCATCTCCCCTCTCTTCTCTCTCCGGCCACCGTTCTCCGGCCTCCGGCCACCGTCCTCCTGTGATACCACTATGATACCACTGTGATACCTAAAAATATTGACTCTGTTAAACAAAAAATACATTGTGATACCTAATCATATATAAGATGCATAGTGATACAACTGTGTTACATCTTCTATCGACCACACAAACGACATCAATGTGATACTCAAACACATATATGATGCATTGTGATACCATTGTAGTATCACCGGAGGACGGTGGCCGGAGAGAGAAGAGAGGAGGGAAGAAAGTTTTAAAATACCAAAAATATTCTTGCATTAATATTTTTATTCAAAATTACCAAAATTATAAATTTCTTAATTTATCTATTGATTTGTGGTTAATATTGGTTCTCACAGTTACCACAAACTAATTAGTTCTCATTTGATTAGGCCCCTATATATATATATATGTGTGTGTGTGTGTGTGTGTATGTGTGTGTGTGAGACTAGTATGTTTTTATGAGACCCGTGAGACTATTTTTTTACTTTTGAAACTTCACAGCAAAAAACTGTGAAGGTAAAAAAAAGTCGAACTTTCACAACAATTTGCTGTGAAGTTTCAAGTGTAAAAAGGTAGTATCATGGGTCTCACGAAAACAAGTTGGTCTCACGTGATCCCAAGTCTATATATATGTATATATATACATACATATGTGTGTATATATCAATTTTAATCAAACCCTAAATCTTGATTTATGGCTTTTTCTATTATCCCCCTCTCTCGATTTCATTTTATGATTTTGTGTAGTATTCAGTTGGTTATTAGTTGTATGGAATATTCTACCGCATTAGTAGGACTCAACGCTTATCTTGTATTTCAATCTATTTATCATATGGTTACAATTAGTTTATAGAGTTCATATGTTGAGCTTTTAATAAGTTGTAAACTTATATTTTTAAAAAATTTAAGAACACGAGGAAAATGTTTTATAATATACTTAAAGATATTTGTATAATGTGAATATATTCGTGATTCAAATTTTAAACAATTGGTTAAAAATATCGGATAAAGAATTTATTGGTATGGATATCAAATTAAATAGAATAAAATACTCGCTTACTGATATAATTTGTATCATAAAAAAATTAACGATATTTAAGATAATTTATATATTTTCTAAAATGAGGTAAATCTAAGAAGGTTTCCAAATTTAACTTTATAGAGTTTTGAGAAGTTGTATGTAGGCTATAATATAAATCGCACTACAACAAAATTGGGATTATAGAACGTAAGACAATATCTAAAGGTCATAATAGACTGCTTTATAAGACATAAGCTTATAGGACCGAACAAGTGTCTGTTTTATATTAAAGCATGCAATATATAAGCTTATATGGCACTTTTGAATGTCTTAACAAGTTTTATTGACATTTAAAAAAAAAGTGTCCAACTATTAATTGTTAACCTATAACACCTCTAAAATTGAAGATAATTTAAACCGTAGAAATAAAACGGATTAAAAGTTGAATCAAATATAATCACCCAACAAAAAGGGAAGTAGTAAGAGAGTTTACATTTAAGAACGTATCGTAGCTAACAACTTACTAATCTAAACCAATTCTAGACTTAGATTACGATTGAATGTCGCTACAATTCTCAAAATAATATATATATATATATATATATATATATATATATATATTAAAGGAGCAACCAATAGTGAATGAGGTGGCATAATGTGGTTTGAGAATTTCTCAAATTTTGTATTGTGTTTTAAGTTGGTTGTCCCATGTTGATGGAGAGAATAATGTTTGACAAATATTAGTGATTATATAAAAGGAAGAGATGATGAATTGAAATGTGAAATGYTTGGGTTGGTTAGATATAAATTTTAACCACCATTTTTTTTTCCAAAAATAATATTTATTTAAAAATATATGGTTGGCTCATTTTGGCCGAATCGGTTAAAAAAGGAGTTAGTATATAGGAGGAGATAAAGAATTGGATTATTTGTTTAAGTTGGTTGTCCTACATTGATAGAGAGAATAATGTTTGACAAATATTAATGAATATATAAAAGGAAGAGATAATGAAGTGAAATATGAAATGTTTGGGTTGGTTAAATATAACTTTTARCCACCTTACTTTTCTAAAAAATATATATTTAAACATTAGGCAAAATCCTTTTTTGCAAAAAAAAAAAATTGTTTAAAAATATATAGTTGACTCATTTTCGTTGAATCGGTTTTGCAATTTTTATTATTATTATTATATAGGAGATAAAGAATTTAAATGCAAAATTTTTAAATTGGTTAAATTTAACTTTTGGCCACCATACGGGTTAGTCGGGTTGATACTTTGGTATATTAACATATTTTTTTAACCTTGAATATGTTATTTCTCTATTCATAATTTTTTTTCATCATCAACCATTTGATACAATTTATCCATATTTCTTACATATATCACATTCAGTTAATTTTATCAATTTACATTTATATGTTCACAGTTACTGAACATATATATAAATGAGTTATATAGAGATAGGAATAGATTGAAAATATGCGTATATGAAAARCATAAAATAGTGTAACTGTCTAATGTATATATTAATAGAAATTCAACAATCATATTAAATCCAAGAAATAAAAGGATATCGGGTTCATCGGGTTGGGTTAGGTTCAAATAATAGTAACTCAATATCAACCTAATATCTACGGTTTGAAAGTTTTACAACTCGATTAGACATCGGGTTGTTTCGGGTTGAGTTATTTCGTGTTGGGTTGGGTTGGGTTGGGTTGATCGGGTTTTTGAGCACCCCTAGTTGTCCCATGTTGATGAGAATATAATCCATTGAAATGAGATGGTGTGTATATCAAGGGAGGAGGTGATGTCTTTCAAAATTAAAATGGTTTGTGACAATTTACAAAGTTCCGTTTTGGCCGACCTCATTTTTTCTAGCAACTTTAAAAAAACTAATTAAAAATTAGCATATTTTATGATCAATGATATGCTAAAAGAACAACCAAAGATGATGAGGATTTATGAGATTTTAATAATCTATTTATAAATTATTTGAATTTTCGGGACCGGGCCGGGCCGGTTCATAACCGGTCCAGGGCCAAGCTGGTCCTTTGCCGGTTCCGGTTCTGATACTCTGGCTGTCCTAGGCTAGCCCGGACTGATTTGACTATCACTACGTCCAACCAAACACCCATCTAAAAC